TTTGTTATAAATTTGAATGCATTTTTGGAGAGATAACATTGATAGCATATTGCAAAAAAACATTTCACGCCACTAAGAACAATTGTTGAGATATTTGCATGTAAACCAACAGGAAGTGATGTCAAAGAGGACGGTTTGTATGTGAACACAGTGTTGCTAAAATGGCTGGCAACACAGACTGTGGAGATGAATCAGAAGTTACTTTAGATCATTTTGAGTCATCAGAGAGATGAAGAAGAGTCAGAGTTCAAATAATATTGTTTCAATAAACAAAGACCAGGGTGTCATAAAGAGTTAATGCGTAAAAGGAGAGATGGAAACACATTTGCCGAATRAGTTCTGACGTAGCRAACATTTGATCAGTTGTTCTTGCTGTCTGTCCTAAACCGATACCGGTATCAGAGCAACTGCAGCAGYGACTGGGAGCAGGACCCTCCTCCCKCTGTCGGCGTATTCTCAGTTAGTCCTGTAATGTGAAGAGAATTGCATTTCTTTCTCTACATCTCCAGACAGCATGTAACAGTTGATATGACAGAATAATTACAACTTTCCCGATAGTAGCAACATGTTCCTGATAACGTCTCTCCATTTTCCTGACATGTGTGGACCCTGCGAGTTTGCGACTATTACTTCCTGTTTACTACACACATGCATCTGATGTAATTGATTCCCTTCAAGCCAGTTGATGGAAACACGTCTGATTCGCATTTCTTTGTTTTTTCCTTTTTACAAAATTAAAACAAATTTTGCTTAAATTTCGAATTAAAATTGGATGGAAACACRGCTTGTTAGGTTCAATTGTTTCATGAGTTGCCATTTTCCAAAACCGATACTATATAATGTTGCTGCTTTTTTATCATTATTACAACAAAATACAATGCTTCTAAGACTGGTTGTAAACGGCATGAAGCTATTGTGATGACATGCAGAAATGGGCATGACGGAAGCGGTAGGAGGTTCTTAAAGAGACAGAGGCCAATTTCAAGGCGTTTAGAAACGACTATGATGTGAAGTCAAATTAATTTTTGATTTAAACATATACAAAGCATTTTCATAACAACTGAAGATGACAGTTACTTGATTTTGGTATAAAATTGAACTATATGTCTGAGAGACACAGTGTAGTACTGGTCCTTTAATATTGCATAAGCTACTGAAGACACCAAAATAAGTCTTTGCAGAGAAAAATCAAAGTCTGACTATTGTTGGTCCCAAAAAAATGGTACTGAGGACAATTTGTCAGAACAAAACTTAACATATATTTAGCTGACAAATATTGGCTATCAAGAGGAAAAAGGGATTTGTGGACAAAACGTTTGTGGGAACCCTGATTTCTAGTCCACTTCACTGGATACACTTCAGTCGTTTGACATTTTGTTTGCTTATTTCAGGGGAATAAAGTTTAATAGTGTAGTAAAACGGCAATTTAAAGGCACACAGATACACTATCAGTGATAGTACTAAAAACATGAAGTTTATTTCATACTGCATGGTGGACAATGACACAAACTAAGAGCCTGCGATATAGTTGTGTCTAAACCTGTTCACGTGAGCACAACCTGCAACAACCATGAAAATGTGTAAAGTCCAAATAAAATTATTCTAAATTAAATACTTTAATGTGGGAAAAATGCCTAAAATATATTTTATTAGTTTTATTCCACRGTCATGGTTAAAAATCCCTTCTGAATTTAGAAATGAGAAATAAATGTGGACAAAGAGAATAAAGTGCATGTAAAAAATTATCATTTACRTTTTCTTGGGCACAAAAATCATGTTCAGAGAGAACACTTTACTGTAATTATGTCAATAGTTTTCCTGAAAGACTAAGATGTCCACCATCATGTGTTCTTAGATCATCTGACCAGAACCTTTTAGTAATCCCAAATACCCTGTACAAATCCAGACGAGACAGAGCCTTTGCAGCTCTGGCCCCTAAATTATGGAATGACCTGCCGCTGGAGGTCATGCAGGCCCCAASTCTTTGTTTTTAAAACTCATTTAAAAACATTTCTTTTCTTTGGCTTTTAACCCAGAATGATTTTGCATCTGTGTCTCAATTTTGTACTATTTTGTGTATATGTGATTTTTGTAGTCGTTTTATTTTTTGATGTTTTATTTTATACATTTGTGCAGCACTTCGGTCAGCTGTGATGTTGTTTTTTAAGTGCTTTAGAAATAAAGTGGTATGGTATGGTAAGATGTGCAATTATCTTTCTTTCCTGCTGTGCAGTAATGTTTCTTTTTTTCTCTCTCCAGTATGAGACTCCCTGAAGGCACGTAGGCTGTTAGTCAGCACATCCCCGACACGTCCCACAGGAGAGGACACTGCTGACACTCACTCTGCAGCTCAGTCACTCCAGGGGTCTCACTGACGTCCACCTCTGCTACTACTGTGTTTACAATAATCTCATCTACGAATACTGAAGGTGAGYATTGGTCCGTTATTAATGTTCTCCCATCGGTGGATTATTTTGACTGACAGAGGAATCAAACTTCAGTTTTGCTCTCTCTGAGCCAAAACACACATCTAAGATTGTCTCAAGCTTGTGTCAATCCCAGAATGATCCTCTTGTAGCTGATGGAAGAYACTGTGTGGGTTTGAACAAGATATTAGCTTTTTAGTGCAGGACTGTGAATATAAAAAATATTTTATCTGATCCTTTCTTAGTGGAAATTAGGAACTATTTTGCTGAGTGGATGAAGTCTACTGCCAGTCATTCATTTTGGGAAAAAAAACTTAAATGAAATAAAAAAGGTAAAGAAAAAAAAGTGGTAAACAAACAAATATATCTTAAAATTAGTCAGATAATTTGCTAATTTGAATCCACGAAAATTTAGATTTAGTGTTTTTGTTTTATTCTTTCTGGTTTCATGTGGACACAGTGAGTTTAGACTTTTCTTTTTGGTTTTGTAAGCAGTTATGTAGTTAAATTCTCTACAAATACACTAAAACATTGAACACAAATCCAGTGTGCTTGCTCTCATCACCTTCAGCAGTAAAGGTGATGACATTTACAGGAAAGCCTATACTTTTTTGATATGTTTTTTTTTTCTCTACTTATTTTTCCAAAGTCATGAGACTAAAATATTTACTTTAAATATTCACATAATAAAGCTAATTATGTCTAATCAATATAAAAAAGTTATATAGTTTAAACCTCGTAATGCAAGCTCAATTTGAAGTCATACAGGCCAGGTTTAAAATGCTTTCCGTTCCATTTTTTTATCTTTTATCGCCACCTGGTGGGCAGATTTGGGAAAACAAAAAGTGTCAAAAAATGTGGCAAAAGATGGATGGCTCCCCTTTTTCAGTGTCTGCATGAACTGTGAGAAATAAAATTATGTGAACCAAGTGGAAATGCAAAGCAGACAATATATTAAACTGTGACAATATCAGAAGCATTGTGTTTACAAGCTTTTGTTT